CCCTCCACAGCGAATCTGGAATAGCAACAGACACACCGTCAGTTTGAAAAGTATGGAATATGTTGCAATTTTGTCAAGATTATCAAGCGACTTTGGAAAAAAAACAAAAAAAACAAAACAAAACGAGAAAAAAGATTTAGAAAAAATAATAAAATCAACATTTAATAATTAAACGTTTGTGTTGTTCATATGGTGGTCTTTTCAATTCTTTTCTTTACAGCATCGCACTCATTAGCTTTTCACTCATTTACACTGGTGAACCATCCACACGTAGTCACTGACTTTAATTATGCTTTCTGGAAGGTTTGGGGCCACTATTAACAGCCAGGAGCTGTGTTGCATGAATATATGACAGAGAAGCTTTATGACCACAATGAAAACCTCCATTAGAGTAATGTCAGAGTAAAACATTATCCAACACTGCAAATTTGTAAGCTGTAAAAACACTATTTCTCTTGAAATGGTTTGGGTATTTTTTTCTTTTTCAAATCGAAGCAACTCAGTGCATTTAGGTATGCAAATATAGTCAAGATGTCCTAATAAAGTCAACACAGAGAAGAGTGATATAAGTGACTTTTAATGTGGCCTGGTCATTGGTGCCAGGTGGGCTGGTCTGAGTATTTCAGCAACTGCTGATATGCTGGGATTTACTCACATAACCATCTCTAGGGTTTACAGAGGATGGTCAAAAAAAGGAAGCTATCCAGTGAGCAGCAGTTCTCTGTGGAAATATGACAATGTTGATGACAGAGGAGAATGGCAAAGCTGCTTTGAAAGGATAGGAAGCCAACAGTAACTCAAATAAACACTTGTTATAACCAAAGTATGGAGAAGAGCATCTCTGAAAGCACAGCATAGCAAATCTTGAAGCCAATGGGCTCGAACAGCAGAAGACCACACCTTGTTCTATCAGCTAAGAACAGGAAATTGAAAATACAATTTTTCATGGGCTCACCAAAACTGAATGGAAAAAGATTGGAATAATGTTTCCTGGTCTGATGAGTCTCCTTCAGCATTTAACATAAACAGCATGAAAGCATGGATCCATCTTTTCAGGTTGGTGTTGATAATGGTGTAATAGTATGAGGATATTTTCTTTTTTTGGCCCCTTTAATCCAGAAATAGCATTGTTTAAATGTCACAACCTACCTGGGTGTTGTTGCTGACCATGTCTATCCCTCCAGTGGCTGCTTCCAGCAGGATAACGCACCATGTCACAGATCACAAATCTTCTGAAACTGCTTTTCAGAATATGAGTTCACTGTACTCAAATGGTCTCCACAGTCACCAGGTGGTAGAACAAGAGATTGTCATCATAGATGTGCAACCGACACATCGCCATCAACTATGTGATGCTGTCATGTCAGTATGGTCAGAGGAATTTTTCCAGCACCTTGAAAGAAAAGGGGTTGAACGCAGTAGTAGCAAGCTATTCTTAAAAACAAACAAACAAAAAACTGGCTGATGAATCTATATGCAGATAGTGGAAAATATGCATGCAGCATATCAGAATATACTAACTGGAAAAGAAACCAGTGTCAAGATAAAGATACCAGTACAGAAAACATTGTAAACAATACAGTAAATGTTCTTCAATAAATATCCCAAGTTAGCCAGTAAGCTATCCAGTAAATGTGTGAGAAATGTCTATTGTGATTGTGTAGACTGTATTTCTCACCATTGTGGAGCTGCTGTGAATGAAAAAGGTAAGTACTAGTAACTTTATATTTTTGTATTTATTTGCATCAAATTGGACTGAATATGCTCCTGAGCTTTAAATAATAATAAAATTTGTCATATCATGTAAATAAAAGCTGTAACCAGCCATCAGTGCCTGTTTACAATAATATCTGTAGGTACTACTTGGGCCATTGGTCGTATATTCGCGCTTGGAGTGCTGCTTCGAGAAGTTTACTCTGCGCTACTAGCCCCACCCATTTTACGAAACGATGACGTCTGAGCCAATCACGATTCTTCGCGCGGAATTTCAAATATTTTCAAAAGCCCATCCATTCACCGATGTGATATTGTTCCGCCAAATTTGTAAACAAAATAGTCCCTTTTGTCTAAACGCGAGTCCAATTTGATCAGAGCAAATACACAGTGCATGACAAACCTAGTACGACAAAATATTACACGCATTTCATTACAAAACACAAGTGAAGTCAAGTTTTAGTGGGGGGACCGAGTGCATTTAAGTCTGGCGGATTGATATCACAACACTTCCCTGGACCAGGCGATGGACAACAAGGAACCGCTGTTGAAGGTCGCTTACGTTAGGTAGTCGTCGGCATGACAGATTGTCGTTTTAACTTTAGGCTGATATGATCGTGTAGTTAAAGTCCTCGTTGTATCCTTGTCTATGTTTATGGATTTCCCAGGATTTTACGCATCTGCAAAGTGACTTTCAGGTGAGGCTACGATAGTCCTAAACTACCGTTATATTAGAGTTTAATAAGTCGTGTAACACAAGTGGCGACCCGACGTTAAGTTTTTAACGGTGGCGTTATAACGATACACGTTTTTCTTTTTCTAACTAGAGAATGTAGTAAATGATAAAAAAAAAAATAATAATCAAACGGACAGCTAGCTATGTATTTCTGGCAAGACGAAAACTCTACAGTCGAGGCCACATTGCACGTGGGATACTGGGAAAACGTTTGCTAGCGCTTTACTGAGGAACAACGGTCCTGTTGGTTTGTAATAGAAATACAAAGCAAATCTAGGGTTAGATTAATCCTACATAGAGTTAAAAGAAGTGTAGAATAAATTAAAACTACCTAAAATGTCATAAACCAAATTAAAAAATAGCTAAATGTCATCGAATACAATGTTGCCGCCTAGTAAATGTCTTTCCTCGGCTTGGAACGACATTTAAATGCTATTTAACATTTAAAGTTTGATTGTCTAATGCGGATTTGACTGTGCCTTTCGCTGCTGACACTTGTGTTTCGTCATGTTCCCAGGTAACGTTGGAAAAATGCCGTTGCACGGTAAGATTGTCGTGATTAAGCGGAGTGGGGGAGATGGGACTGAATTTCCTCTGACTGCAGCATGCTTATTTGGAAGGTTGGTAGAGTTGGCCTTTGTTTACCTTCTGTTTTACTCCCACTTACAGTAGTGTTCATACATGCAAGACATCCTCGTGTACTACAGAAAACGCATACACTTCATCGATGTTTCTCATTTTGCGATTGCGATGGGCTATAAAAACTTTACTGTTAAGCTGCTGAAGTGTGAAGCTGCTGAAGTGAAGAAACTACTGTATATGAGAACTAACATAGACTTTACATAGTTAGATCAAAGCTCTCAAGCAAATCCACATCAATTTTGCACCATCTGACCGGCTGTAGCTCAGGAGGTAGAGCTGGTCACTTACTGGTCGGAAGGTTGGTGGTTCGATCCCTGGCTCCTCCAGTCTGCAGGCAAGATACTAACTCGAACTTGCTCTCCGATGCATCCATCGGAGTATGAATGTCGTCCGAAAGCACTATAGATAAAGTGCTTGTGAGAATGGGTATGATTGGGTGAATGAGGCATGTTGTAGAGAGCACTTTGAGTACTCCGTGAGAGTAGAAAAGCGCTATATAAGAATCAGTCTTTCTTCATGAGCCTTTAAAGATCAGCTCCCAGTTGCATGTAAATATGAAGAAGTTCCACTTATCATGCAGCTCAATGCCTTCTGCTTGTGACCGTACAGGAAGCCTGACTGTGATATTCGTATTCAGCTTCCTCAAGTCTCCAAGGAGCACTGCCGGATTGACTTGAATGAGAATAAAGAGGTAAGAAAATACAAGGAGCGAGACTGCTTTAATGGCCTTAGTTTGCCGATATTTAAAAATTGATTGCTGTGAGGAATGTTTGCTTAGATGCTGTGTAATCATGTAGTTGTGCTTCTGCTTTGAAATGTTTTCATTGTTCATGTGGTGTTTCTCTCTCGCTCTGTCTTTCTGCCAGGTCATTTTGACCAATTTAAGCTCAGCAAATCCAACGCGTGTCAATGGCGAGGTTTTGCAGCAGTCTGAGCGCTTGAAGCATGGAGATGTTATAACCATTATCGACCGTTCTTTCAGGTGAGTGTGGTGTGAAAGAAACATTTTAACAACCCTTTTTCATAAGCCGTTAGACAAACGCTGAGGTAAAGGGCATTCAAGTTGCGTTTAGCAGAGTGTGTTGTTGGAACAGAAGTCTAATCTCTGAAATGCAACCTGCAAAAAGTCAAGGATGTGAGGAACCCGCTAAAACTGTATGTAATGCTTAAGCTCAACAATACCACGTAATGTGAAATCTGTATTGGCCGTTTCAGTTAACATAATATTGGTTTGTTGGTTATTATTGCTAAATGCAAATTCAGGTGAGCAGCACTGGAGTTAATTTATTGTTTTTCATGTAGAGATAAAAATGAGATAATTT